GAACGAAACTCGAAGCGTTACATAACGGATCACGATCGAACGATATTAACGGCATAACAATCGGCCGTGGAAGCGTTGGCTGTTGGACAAAGCGGCGATCCTAATAGAATGAAAGGAACGCGGCGACCGTTCCATATGATCGATCTTGGCGTCCATTTACGGCCGTCGTCGATCGTCACCCCCGACGTCGGCCCATCTCGCGTAATTGGAATGCAACGAGACTTAAAATACCGATTAAAATACAGTTGGATACGACGGTTGAAACGGTTGACGACGAAGGATTGTCGCGTCGATTAGCGCGCTACACCTACATATCTTTGCGCGTGTCGCAAGATGGCCGGGTCACCGCTGCCTACATGGTTGACACCCACCGACTTGTTGTCGGGCTGGAGCCTTGGCGGCGAGCAATCGACGGCGGTCTATCTCTTCGTTGTAATTTACGCCGATTAACAGTTACGCGATCCTCGCCGTGTAGGAAACGTTAACTCGCGGATCGCGATCGAAAGAGAAATTATCCGGTCTCGGTTAACAATTTCCTCTGGAAATTGCGCAAATTCCTTGGAGAGAGGAAATTGTATCAACGGTGAGCACGCTCGATCACCGCTCTTCACCGATAAATAAATCTTTCCTCGATCCAGCGTGGATCCAGGGAACGGAAATGAAGATACTCGGCTCGCTGGCCTCTAAAACGGAAGACGTTGATCTACCGCTTTAAATATGCGATAAGATACGCTACGTTATGAAGGGAAGAAGGAATTATCCGTATTAATGGGAACATTTGATTTTCAGGATGGGGATACGAGAACGCGAGAATGATAGTTAAACGATCGGGAGAAGGGAAGGATAACAAGATAGGCGAGCGGTAAAAGAGGAAGAAGAAAATGGTGTACAGAGGCAGTTTGCAGACCGACGATCCCAGGGATGCACCGAGGCTGGTCAGGATGTCACCGCTCAGAAGCAGCAGGCCGAGCAATCCCGATTCACGAGCAGTTTCCTCCGTTAATAGCCCGGTGTATCACGGCCCGTTTGTGCCAGCAATCGACGTTCATCGGGCCAAATTGATCGATGAAAGACGTTTGCCCCGTTGTGAAAGAGAGATCGAGTCAATGGAGAAGGTGATTATGAGGACGACCGGGCTCAAGGTCGGGGCGCCAAGGCTGCGGAACATCAGTCAGATACGGGACACGGTGTTCGTCGATCCGGCACTGATACCTATGGAGAAGATCGGCCGGGTGGAAAAGGATCGGCCGAGAACAATCGCGATCGAAGGCGCGACCGGTAGATCGTCCAGGGCGCCGAGCTCCATGCTCGCCGATTTGAAGGATCTGGAGAGATTGAGGAACACGCCTCCGGCTCAGAGG